TCAATATGTGTGTGTGCTTTTGGAGTAAAATTGTATTCTACATATGATTTTTAAATTTTACTGTAAACTTTGTCCTCCAAGTTTCTTTGATGTACAATTAATTTACTTGGATTATGTAATAGATGTATGTGGGAAAATGAAAGTGTATTTATTTTTTTCTTTGGTTTCACATATAACAATAAATATTAGTAGCTTTTTAGCTCTTATACTTAATAAAAATCATATTCATTACAACTTTGAGACAAACTATATCAAATTGATCAAAATATTAATGAGATACATTTACAATACTTTAGGCAGGAAAATTTCAGCTGCTTCACTTATATATATATATATATATATATATATATATATATATATATGCAAATTCACAATATGTAATTAATTGTAAAATAAGTCTCTAATTGTAACAAATAATTACATTTATTGTATGTATGATAAATAATTCATAGAAGTTAACAAAATGTTAAGTAATAGATATAGTTGAAGCCAATTATTTATCCATGAAAATTGAAGTGCACTTTTCCAATGCATAATTAAGAATAACATTTAAACATTTATTTGTAACAAACTATTTTTGCATATATTGTTTTAATGTATATTCATAATTTCCTAAGATTGCAATTAATATATAAAGATTAAAGTTAATTAAACTACAATACAATAATTATTAAGACAATCTCTCAAATAATGTGAAAGTAAATTATCTTACCATTACTACAGTAATTAATGCAGCAAATTTGAGCGGGAAAATTCCAGCTGCTCTGCTTTGATATATATATATAGATTATGTAACCCAAAAGAGGAAGCTAATATTTATTAACAATTATTAGCATATTATTAAATGTCTGTAAGATTCTATGAACAACTCGAGACACGAGAGTCGAGATGCCAAACAAAAATTATACTTTAATTTTTATTTTTTTTTTTTTATTATCATCATCTCCAACCAAGCGGAATTAAATTGATTTTGTTGGGGATGAAAAGGATGAATGTGGCCGTAGTACGTACAGAATTAATTTTAATTATTTAATTTCTTAAATTATTATGTCACACACACTAATTAAAATTAGAGGCTGCATGAAACATACAGCTGGAAAGTTTTGGAAGTATATGGAGACTTTAACCGCAGAACATAATCGTTTTTGGCCTCCAATAATAATGTAGAGAGGAACTTTCGGGGATTAAAGGAAATAGCTTAAAAAAATAAAATTTAAAGGATAAATATGAAACGATTCTCACAGCTGTTTAACTATTTATATTTAAATCCCTTTTCCCATCGCATAACGTGGGACTGTGGGAGCAGTCACCGCACCTTTTTTCTTCTTTTTCTTTTTTTACGGCGTAGACAGATAGTATGGGGATCCAAAATGGAATTGGGTCGGATCTGATAAAAATTTGATACTCAGTGTAATAAATTTACGGGAGATGCTACGATCTCGTTACGAAACCATTCTGCTGGAGTTCGTAACCGTTAGATTAACTATCCCCGACGGTTACATGATGATATAACAATTACAAATTTCAACAGAATAGTTTCGTAACGCGACCATAGTATTATGCTAAATTTACATATATACTACTAATAAAGGCGTGTCAAACTCTAAAACATAACAAGTTGGAAAAAATGTGACATTTTGAAATATAAGCACGCAATTTTAATAAAATAAAGTGGCCCGCATCCACATTCCTAAAATTAACTACGATATGATTTGACCATAGTGGTTAATGATTTTT